TATATATATATATATATATATATATATACCTCATCGAGGGTGCCATATATATAAATTATATATATATATATATATATAAAGTACATAAAACTATTACTAAAAAGTAGTAAATAAAACTATGTAGTTTTATTTACATAGCACATTTTCAGCAACAAGGCAATTCAAAGTGCTTTTCATGAGTTAAAAGGAAATACAAACAAAATAGCAAACCAAAGGAAAGGAAAAAAAAATACTGTAAATGAGAAATACTTACTTACAGTATTTCTCATCTGTTCTTTCATTTTCTCCAAATCGGGCAAATGATATGTCGCTTTTGAGATCATTAAGCCAGCTTCATGTTTTTTTTAGAAAGGTTCCATTCCACTTCTGTCTTTATTCCCAGCTACCCAAAACGCGTGGTTAATTATACATTTTATTTAACAAGGTGGTGGATTACATTTTCACATAGAGCCACACTGGTTTGGATAGCTTTTTTTTCTTTCTTTCTTTTTTTTTTTGCTCAATAAATAAAACCAAAATTAAAAAATGATTGCATTTAATCAGTTTTTCTTTGTCTTCTTATTATTGTTGTTATTTGTTGAAAACTTGTAAGTGTGACAGAAAAATAAACTTTGAGGAAATCTTTAAGGCAGTATCTTGACCGCACGCTTGCTTAGAAATAAAACATGTATAATGAAAAGTAATTGTTTTATAAGCGAAATCACTGCAGGGAACTCAGCAAGTAGAGTTTCTCTCAACTTTAAGTGTTGAAAATAGTTCCTTTTCCAGCAACCAGAGGGCAGCTTCCTTTATGACACCACCTGAGGCTCCAAACGTTTCCAAGCCACACTAAACATTTATAACTGCGTCGTGTTAGTATTTTTTTGGCCTTATTAAGAGGCAGTAAGGTATTCTATGAAGGTCATTTTAATGGAAGATGATTCAAAGGAAGTCCCTCGCGTCGTTTTGTCAGCACGCAGTGTCAGTGTCAGCGAAGTGAGTAACTATTATTAATCAGATTATTGGCTCTGTTATCAGCCAGGCGCCGCTGCTGCTTTGCAAAGTGCTTGTACTCTGGCCCGAGGTGCGCGACCTTTGAACCGAGCGCGGCGGGCGCGCGCGCCGCAGCTGGCTCTATAAAAGCGGCGCGGCGCCTGGGAGCAAAGCGTCAGGTAACCCAGGTGAACACGGCGACTCCAGACACACAGGCGCTCCTCTGCAGGTGAGTACACTGTCCCGCTTCTTACGCTTAAAGACACCGAAACGAAACGGGGTTAAGACGTTTAGAAAAGGAAACTTCCTTATTTACGATTCCGAGCTGAAGAGATGCACCTGCGTTTTAAAATGCGAGGTTATTTCTTTGACAATGATTATGATTGTTTTTGGTTTTTAATCTGGTCTGTTACAACATAAAGAGCCTTTTGTATCTCATACTCCTGAAGTTGTCACGCTTTTTACTCTTGAATTGATCATAACTGAATCATTCTTCTTTAACGATGTATAAGGTTAAATCAAAATACAAGTTACTGATTTATTTTTATTTAAATTTTTTGCCAATTAATTATAGTTAAACGTAATAATTAACCATTAAGGAAACTCACACTTTGTGACAACCAACACCAAAGCAATGTCGATCATCCCTATTAATAAAATGTTTCAGTAGAAATTGGTATTTCTTTCTTTTTTAAATCACTGACTCATGACAGATTACTTTTTATTTGAACAGATTGTCCTTCTTTACTCCAGAAAAATATTGAAGAATTGATTTTATTTAGAAAATGGACTGAGATAAGCACCAGCAAGTTTTGATGGTATTTAGACAACATTAGAGACTTTAGTACAAATATCTTTTCACTTAAAATATAAAACTGTGTTTCTGGTGGAAGAGGTTTCTATTAAAATCTTCCCGATTCATAATAAAAATGAGTCAAAATCTGAATTAGAAAGTCAAAGATCAGCAGTGCTATTGGAAAAGCAGTATTGTAACATTTCCCCTAAAATTTTTCATATAACTTTAAATTTAGATTTTTTTCAGATAAAACCATGAGTGCATCTAATAGTGGACACCTGGCTAACGGTGGTAGTTCATATCATAACATTAAAAACAGCATGAAAAACAACTTGTGGAAATGACAAAATCACCTCGTCTGGATTTTTTCATGTTTCACAAAACAACCGCTGCCAGCTCAACAAGTTTTCATATCGCTCTGTAGCGTAGCATTAATAATGAATGTGATGACCAAAATCCCGGTCATATCAGGTCTGCTTTGTGTTTCTTTTAAATCCATTCCTTCGACTTCATTCTGTTAACTTCTCGTCATTTCTTCAACAGTCATGGCACCGAGACCACAAGAGGGGAACGACTCGTCCTCCACCATGAGTAGGCTCTTTTTTTTTTGGATACGCCTGAAGTCTTCCAAGCTGTCATTAACACCTGTGTTTTCCAATCCCTCTGCTTGTCTTTCATTAGGTGACAAGTCTAAGGGTAAAGATAAGGAAATGCCACCACCTTACTCCAGCTTTGACCTGGAGAATGATGAGCCTCCTGAGGAAGATCCCTGGGATCTCCCAGCACTCAAAGACACCGGGATCAAGTGGTCAGGTGAGGCAGCTCACCATTCTTATCCCATTCCTTCTTCTAAAAGCTGACTCTGACTCAGTGTTTTGCTTTGTTTTTCTTTCCTGCCGCACAGAGCTGGATACACGAGGGAAGATAATGAGAGTGCTGACTGCCATCGTGAAGCTGATTCTGCTGCTCGGATTACTCTACCTGTTTATTTGCTCGCTGGATGTTCTCAGCTCTGCTTTCCAGCTAGTCGGAGGTGAAAACTAAATTATTGCCGTGGGTCACTATGACTCATTGTGTTCCGTCTTTGCACATTTATGCTCTATATTAGACAATAGGGTACTTTCGTGGTGTGTAGCCTATGAAGTACTTCCCTATTGAACCTTGATGTTTGTGTATTTACAGGCAGAGCAGCTGGGGACATCTTCAAGGACAGCGCTGTGTTATCCAACCCTGTGGCTGGGCTGGTGATCGGGGTGTTAGTCACAGTGCTGGTGCAAAGCTCCAGCACCTCCTCATCCATTGTGGTCAGCATGGTGTCTTCTGGATGTAAGTAAGACAAGGACCGTCGCTATGACGGTCTCACTGAATGACAATGTTGAGCTAAAATGCCTTTTCTCTTTAATAAAGTGATACTGGGCTGATGTCAGTCAGGCTGTCTGGACAGGTAGACTCCTCTGTCAGCTGTGTAACACTTTAGGTTGTAATTTTGGTTTTGGACCACCATAAATATTTCTAAACATCCACATTTAAAAAAAAAAACTTTCTCGTTTGTGTGAAGCAACAAGTAGTAGAGGACCAACGAACCCTGTGTTGCTGCATATTTCACACAGCCTCAGAAATATTCCATTATTAATTTCACTTTCTCAGACATCTCATGAAAAGGACTGGAAAGTGGAAAACTTAAATAGCTTTGAAACCGTAACTTTGTCAACTTTGCAAATAGCATAATAAGGGCCAAACTGACTGATTTAAATTGGAAAAGCCCAGTGAGGAAAATAACAATTATGAAGTAGTGTTATAAATTATTACTTGATTGGTTTTTTTATGAACAAAACCTTTTGGTAACATGTTAGCACTGAAAACACTTGTAGGTCACATGATCCTGCTTCTGAATCTCAGAACATTGAACTTATTTATCAAACCACAGCTAAGCCAAAAAGTATTCCTTTGGTTTTTATTTCCTTATTGGATGTGATATTAGTATTTTTGGCCTAGCTCCATAATAATCTGTTAGAAAATCTATGAGAAATCATAGAGAAATCATAGAGAAAAATCTCTATGTTAGAAAATCTCTTATCCTTATCCTACAGATTAGGCTAAGAATGGCTTTCCGACCTGAAAGACACTGGAGCTCAACATCAATATGGAAGCATGCTGAAAGTTTATGCCAAAAATACAACAGTCAGTCAATAATGTAATAACTTACAATATCGTTAAAAAGTTATTGTCAGTAGTGGTTCAAAAACTGATGTCAGTATTTGCCGTTCCTACATGATTGATTACGACGTACCTTGAGACTGAAAACTCAAGGTACGTTGGCCTAATTTTTAACTTGGGCCAACGGTAAATGCAAGCATGACAGCGGCATTATCGATACCCATCAATTAATGCTTCTGCTTTTGTTCAGTGCTGGACGTGAAATCTGCAGTACCGATCATCATGGGGGCCAACATCGGCACGTCGGTCACCAACACCATTGTGGCTGTGATGCAAGCTGGAGACCGAAATGAGTTCCGCAGGTAAACAGGAACCAGGAAGTAATAAAATACAAAGGGTGACCTCCAGCAAAGTGTTTATTGCGTTGTTTTCTTTACCTTTAGGGCGTTCGCTGGCGCCACCGTCCACGACTTCTTCAATTGGCTGTCGGTGCTAATCCTCCTGCCTTTGGAAGCAGCGACGGGCGTCCTCTTCAAACTCACCGACCTCCTGATCAAGTCCTTCAACATCGAGTCCGGAGAGGACGCGCCCGAGTTGCTGAAGGTCATCACGGACCCCCTCACCAGCTCCATCATCAAGGTGACAAAATGAGTCGAAATGGGAGGGCTTGGATTTACTGCTAAAGATTCGGGCAAATGAAACACTTCCTTGTCCTCTCAGCTGGACAAAAAGGTGATCGAAGAGATCGCAACTGGCAAAGATGTTACGAACAAAACTCTGGTCAAAAGATGGTGCAAGACAGAATCAAACGTGGTAAGAAATCAACAATTGCTGCATCACATGAAGACAAATCAGTCGATAAAAATAGAGTCTTGGAAGGATAATAGAGTTTCTAAATCACTGATATTGTTCTTCCCAATCTGTGACCACAGTGATTCCATTGTGTGAGGTCATGTTCTTTAAAAGGCAGTTGTTTGCTATAACAGGAAGATGATTGTCTGCTGCTGGATTGCTTACTGTGTTCCCTCCTTTTTTTGGACATGTCTCAGACTTTCTGGAATACCACCGTGGAGAAGTGCCCGGAAGGTCAAGTCTGTTGGATGGAGGGAGACAAGATCTGGACAGAGATGAACCAGACATTTACCAACAACATTGAGAGATGTAATGCCTCCCTGAATGTTTTTTTTTATTTCCTTCTTTTTTGGGGGGTTGGTTGAGGAACTACTACAAAGAAATCAGGACAATCTGATCCACCAAAGCTCAGTGAAACGTAAACGGGCTATTTGGCCAAAAAAAGGCTCCTCTGATGTCTGAACAATGCCAACCTTTGAGATGCTGCAGTGGCTCGGTTTATGCCCCGGCTTCAGTATCTATCTTGCTGAATAAGTCTTTTCATGCAGCCTTTCTCTTGCACAAGTCCATTACATGGATCACTTACTCAAAGTATTCTGCTCACGCTTAAAGTAAATCACTTGTTTGGTTTTGTGTGCTTCATTTTTACTGCTTTCTCTTGCACAATATGCAGTTCCAGTTGTCTCAAAAACTTGAAATGTTTAAGAGAGTTTACAGTGAGGTAGCTCATTGTAAATGTGGACACTTCTTTGCAGGCAAGCACATCTTCGCCTATGTTGATTTGCCAGACCTCGCCATAGGCCTGATTCTGCTGGCCCTCTCTCTGCTCGTCCTCTGCACCTGCCTCATCCTCATTGTCAAGCTGCTCAACTCTATGCTCAAAGGACAGGTGGCTGTGGTCATCAAGAAAGTGCTCAACACAGGTATAGACATTAAGCGCCACACATTCGCATGCTTTGTGAAGCCTGTTTGATAGTCAGCACACCTGTGTCGTGGTGGTGATGCTTGATGAGCAGCACAGGCATAGCCCTCCTGTTGCTCCTAGCTGGACTCCAGGTCCAACGGTACTGGAGCGTCGCTCAGAGAGCTCAGGCACAGATTCTGCTTTTCCAAAGTACTTTTCTTTTTGGTGCTAATAATCATACGCTACCAGCTCATTAGATCCAAACTTGTCATTCTGTTTCAGACTTTCCCTTCCCCTTCGGTTGGGTTACTGGCTACATTGCAATTTTGGTGGGAGCAGGGATGACCTTCATTGTTCAGAGTAGCTCCGTCTTCACATCGGCTATAACACCTCTTGTTGGTAAGTCGCCTCGAATCCACTTAAATTCTTTTTGTTTAATTTTACATCCTAACTTAAATCTTGTCTATCTTCATTTGCCAGGTATTGGTGTCATTTCCCTTGAGAGAGCTTACCCGCTGACCCTGGGATCAAACATTGGCACAACAACAACTGCTATACTGGCCGCAATGGCTAGCACTGGAGACAAGCTAGGCAGCTCGCTGCAGGTATGCTGGCTGCGGTGCTCCAACAACAGTGATGTCATGTTGGTTTATGCTTAATTTTATTGTGACTGGCAAGGCAAATTTACCAGAGTGATCAATGATAAATATGATCACACCTAAAGATAGGAGAAAGATAAAGAGTGCTTGATCATAGAGTATTTATTATTTCTAGAAATGACCACAACATTGAGAGTGAAATGCCTGTGTAAAAAAACCATCAAAATATTGCAGCAAAAGTAATGGCATTTCTACCCATCCATTCTGGCTAGCATTTTTAATACAACTGAAGGTAACAGTTACTTGATTGTGCTTTAAAATGGCACCGTGTGGCTGGAAAACGCACAATACTGCCCTTCTGATCAGCTTCTCACACTTATCTTGTGCTTAACATCGTTTATTTGTTAACGAATGTATGTAATTTGTGCGTTCTCTTGCCTAGATTGCTCTTTGCCACTTCTTCTTCAACATCATGGGGATAATCCTGTGGTATCCGATCCCCTTCATGCGGGTGCCCATCAGATTAGCCAGAGGCCTGGGGAACAGAACTGCCAAATACCGCTGGTTTGCAGCTCTCTACCTCATCCTGTGCTTCTTGGTGTTCCCCCTGACCGTGTTTGGACTGTCCGTAGCCGGCTGGCAGTACCTGGTCGGCGTCGGTGTGCCCTTCGCGGCCCTTGTCATATTCGTGATTGTCATCAACGTGATGCAGTCGCGATGCCCCCGCTTCTTACCCAAGGTTCTCCGCAGCTGGGACTTCCTGCCCCTGCCCCTGCACTCCATGGCGCCATGGGACAAAGTGGTGACGACCTCCATGTTCTTCTGCAGCAAATACTGCTGCTGCTGCTGCAAGTGCAGCAGCTGCTGCCGAAAGGATGAAGAGGCGGAGAGGATCTCCAGGGCCAGCAGGAAGAGCCTGGCAATGTACGACAACCCCGCCATGTCCAGAGACGAAGAAAAGATGGAGCACGAGAGAGCGACGCAGTTTTAATTTCGTCGGGGGGGTTTTCTTGTGAGCCGGTGCAATATTTAATGCAACTGTATTCTCGTGACACATTTCTTAATTGTTCATTCCTTCTCAGGTTGTGGTAAGGTGTTGATTATCCAATGACAAACTGTAATATACACTGCCTGTCGCCATGGAGACTACGGACAAAACTGTCACACATGCTCTCAACAGGTCTGCTGTGTTGGGCCGTCTGATGTTTATTTAATATTTCCAAAATCATTGTACATAATACCTGTCTTCTATAAGTTCATATATAGGTTTCTGTGAATACAAGCTTTTTTTATTATATTTGAAATTATTTTCACATCTGAACATTTTGGATTCCAATGTAGCATTTTAAATTTATTATTATTTGCCTATGCTAACACTCAGTATTTAAAGCTGTGTAATATTTGTATATTTAAAAAATTGCTATTTTTAAAGTACTACTTTGTCGTCTTTTGAATATGGTTTGTCTGTTATGTTCGGGAATTACAGCTTGCGATCATTTTTTCTACTCAACGTGACATATTTAGCTAATTTGAGGGTCAGACAGAGCTGATCCAGCAGGTTTCACATGACTGATGAGAATGTCACACTGCAAAAGAGCAATGTACTATCTGTATTTGGGTCTAATTTCTGCTGCAACTATCTTAGTACACTTGAAATGAGACAAAACTAACTTACTAGTAATTTTAAAGCAAGATTTAGGAGTTTGCTTACAGTCAATAATTCCTTAATATGATGAAAAAGTGCTAGTTCCAATAGTTATTCCACTTAATACAAGACATTTCTCTCATGTTATAAGTGAAATAATCTGCTAATGAAACAGATCCTTTTTCATCAATATTAAGGTGTTTTTTTTTTGTTTGTTTCAATATCTCTTGCTGAAATTACTTGTTAGATTTGCCTTATTTCAAGTGCGCTAAGATATTTGCACTAGAAACTAAACCAAAACTACTTGGAAAGACTTGGTGTTTTTGCAGTGTAGCACTGGTGTGCTGGACGAAGTCATGAATGCATTCCTGTGTTCGCAACATTCCTGTGTTCACTGATGTAACAACAGGTTTGAAGAGAGATGAATGTCATTCTGAAACCACTTAATTACAATGCAGGCAAAGCAACAAAAACATGCAGCTGAAGAGGTAGATTTTGCCCTTATATTACACTAGAGACCAATTTTACATGTAGAGAAGACATACAATATATATAGATATAAATCAGGTTTAAATAAGACAAAGGTTGTCCAGTTCTTAAAGTGGTAGTACAGATTTTTTTACAGCTGGGCTTCAGTTGGAAGGTTACGAGCAGTTGGCTTTTTGTCTATAAAACACTACTCTGTTGGCACATTATATTTTTATGCACACTTATAAGAGATAAGTGTGCTTTTGCCTATCTATCAATAGGCTTTTGCCAATCTATCAATAGGCTTTTGCCTGTTGATAGATAGGCAAAAGCCTATTGATAGATAAAGTTGGGGCAATCTAAAAGTACGTCTATGCTTTGCTGAAACATCTGTAACCTTTCACCCCACTTAAGGAAGTTTGGTCAAACTGGCACAGGAGCAAATTAACCATTAGCCAAATTATAGCAAATATCCTGAAGGTTAAACAGACTTCAGCAAAGCTGCCCTGTTTTTCCATTCTTTTAAGCTTCCAGCCTTTTCTTTTTATGAAGCTTGCTGGAGTTGGGAATGTCTTTTGAACATTCTAGAAAAGGTAAGAGCCTTCTCAAGGAAACGCTGATGTTAGCTGTGGTTAAATATGCTAATTCTGCTAATCGCGCTAATGTAAGATGCTCAAGAAGATTTAAAATGTCAATCATTTCTATCCATTTTAAATGAGTGAAACCTGGTTTTAAAGTAACTGTTGTTGCACACAAACAGTTGGCCTTTGCGTCAGGTCCAAATATAAATAATTAATGAACAAAGAACATATTGAATGCTGTTTATTTTAGTTCCTAAAGAGAATCAAATGAAATCTTTGTCACCAGTTCAATTTTACAAAACAAAAACAGAAAAATGGAAATCAGGCTAATCTCTCTATATATACAAAAATAAAATACAGTAAAAGTTATGTCACACATTACATGTTGACTGATCATAATATTGTGACACTTTTTGATAACATGCATTAACTTTCCCTTTTAAAAGAAATTAGAATTGGCCCTTTAAACATGGTTTAAGAGAACACAGTGACCTGAGGCCCATAATAAACGCTCTACCACCCACACTGCCACACCTGCCACCTTCTGCTCAGGTATTTCTAGGTGAAAGAGATTTGCTGGACTTCGAGTACATTACATTCAGTCTGAAATCCTCTGTTCTATTCACATAATCATAATGCAATCATAATTAATTTCTAGCTATCAGTTTCAGTGCAGTGGAAAATCTCCAGTATAGGGGAGCAATAGCTGAGTGGCTACAGTGTATTAGCTGTTCTACAGGAGCTACGTGTAAGATTGTAAACGTGGAGTCGTTCATACTCATATTCCAAAAACCAATGGTAAACAGTTGTTTATTTGTCACTTTATTGGTTAACAGCGATCATTTATGCCCGTAATAAGTGTGTAAAAAAATGGAACTGGTGAGTTATGAACTGTGGCTGTGCGTGCTGTCCTTATCAGGGTTAAACTCAGGACTCCTGTGAAGGACTTTTATCATCTGCAGAATTCAACCAAAAAAACTCCTGGAATCCGGAAAAAAAAAAAAAAAAAAAAAAAAAAGGCAGCTGCAACGATTCAGAGGGAAATATCAGCCGGCAGAATAAATACAATGCAGAAGTGTGGAAAAATGTCAAGTGTAAATATTCAGCAGGACTTTATCAGTGAGCGCACACAAAAGTCAGTATCGTCCGGCGCCTGTGTATCGCGTATTTAATTTCAGATGCTCTCCGGTTTCACCTCAGAAATAACCGGAACAGTTGGCTATAGGGGGCTTTTATTATGAAAAGTTCAACAAGTCCCTGTCGGCATAGAGGACTTTCTTTATTTGATGTCAGGATTAAGTGTCGGTGTGACATTCAGCAGGTCAACTTTTAAACCTCGAAATGACAAATAAAACTGTTGACCACGTGGCTCTGACTGACGTTTGGGCGGACGAGAAATTGGGGGGGAACCAACAAAATCAAATGGATCAGCTGGTGAAAAAAAATTATAATTTATGATTTGTTGGATGTGCAGCCCTTCAAATGTTTCACGGGCTTTTAAGTGAGCCGTATCGCGCAATAAACTGAATTACTAACACTCAAGGTCAGCCGCGCTATCAGCTCATTAAAACTTGGCAGCATAATTGCTCAGCTGGGGATCATAAAGAGCTTTTAACTCCATAACCACTACAGATCACTGTCTTTATTTTTTATTTATATTTTGTTCTCGTTTTCTCACATTCTCAAACGTGCAGTAGTTAATTTTCTTTTATTTGATAACTGAGTTCAGCTTTGCAGACAATCTCAACTTGTTTTATGATTTTGTTAAACATGTACTGGAGCGTTCCTCATGATCTTTTTGGGGGGGGGGGAACTTTTTTACTTAAGAAATTGGTGGCAAATGAGTACATTTCTGTCATTTACTTGTTACATTTGGATAATAAACAGCAAAAGTAGCATTTTGGTAAACTGGAAACAGTTACAGATGTGTTCCTAGAACTTTCCTGTTTGTGCTGTTTGAAGTCCTTTAGAGTTTTTTTTTTCTTCTCTTTCTGAAGCACTGAGTACCTTTGCAATGAACTTTATGAAAATATTGCTGCACACTGCAGCTCAGCTGGCTAAAATCACGCTCCCATATCTTATTCTTGCTTACAAAAAAGACAAATCCAGCTGTTTTCATATATATCAAATGGAAAAGAAATCAACTTTTTGATTACTTAAAGCAAATTCACCACCAAGTATCGTCCTTTTAGATTCTCATGAGAGCTGAAGCGCAAAAGACATACTATTCTACAAAACAGCGTCTGAGTTCAGTGGATTTTTTATGTTTTTCCTTAAGATTTATGATCAAAATAACAATAAAAGAATGCCGTAGATAATATTATATCTGTAACAACTGATGAGTCTTATAGCCAGCTGCTGGATGAAATATTTATGGTCGGATTAAAACAAAAGTAATGAGATCATGTGACACAACCCCGATTCCAATGAATTCGGGACGTCGTGTAAAAACAGAGCGCAGTGATTTGCAAATCCTTTTCCAGACAACATTCAGTTGAAGTTGCTACAAAGACAAGACGCTTAACGTTCAGATGGAAAACTTTTGGAAATATTCACTCGTTTGGAATTTGATGCCTGCAACATGTTCCAAAAAATAAAAAAATTAAATTAAATCACTCGGTGTGGTTACCATAAGACTGTTGTATTGTTACGTGAAAACACCAAAACAATGTTTTTATTGTTCAATTGATAAAATACCAAACATGGTATTTTTGCTGACACTGACCTGTTAAAACAGATTTTAACAGGTCAAAAATGTTGTGTGTCGAGTGAATAATGCTGCTGAATATATTTTTACACATTCATTTTAAAAAATGTGAAATGTGTAAATCCTAATTAATCATAATGCAGAATCTTTTGTGAAAAAAAAACTGACTAATTTTCCAAATAAAACCATTGTGGTCACTGTTGCATCATGATGTAAACTGTTAACATATTAACAATTTAAATCGTGTTTGCATGTAAATTTTAGCTATATTTGCAAAAAAAAAAAAAAAGGTGAAATTTCTATTTCCCAATAAAAATAAATAAACAGTTGTATACAGACAACCCCTTTCTTCTGTTTTTGGAATCATACATTCTAAAAATAGAAAACTGTGTCAACTTACTGTACAAGTGGAAAAAAAAAACTTTACAACTACAGCAGATACAGGTTGTATACATTTGCATTCTTTTATTATTACATTCTTGACTCCAGGAGAATTTGTGCTGTCGCGGCGGCAGCAATTCGCTCTATCAGTAATTAACGGTGTTGGTCAGAGCATCCAGATGGACAATAAACCAGCTATGTGGGCTCCTATAAACCAATGCATGATGGGACAAATAAAGTTGTTTTATGTAAACAGGTACCATAAAGCAAAGGCAGGAGGACTCGGGGAGCACATGACCCTGAGAGCGGCTTGGAGGTTGGAGAATATGCTAATCAGCTAGCAGCATCCCTCCAGCATGCTGATGTGTGACCCGCAGTCCTCGTTTAGTTGTAAATCCGACGTGGGACTTTCGCCAATATAACCTGGTACTTTTGAAAACCTACAGCGGAGCTTTAATTTGGCACTAAATTATAAAGTTAGCTGCTCTTCACCTCCTCTCAGAAGAGTTGGCGACATCACCAAAAGCCTGCACTTTGCATCGTTTGCTAATCTGACTGACAGGTTTACAGCAGCGAGCCGGTTAGCGTGAAACTGCTGTCGACATCTGAGGGTCCACGGGAGCCAGGTGACAAATAAGCACACGATTTCTCCCCCCTCTTTTTTTTTTTTTT